CCTTTTCGGGTTTTTGTATGACACGAAAGTAGCGAAGCAGCTTGTTTCTCCAAATCGCAGTCATAGTTCTGAAAAAAAAATACTTTTAGCGTTACAAGCATTATTTTAAGAACTATTGTATGTGGGTACCATCCATAGCATGTTCGCAGCTGTTGGAAAAGTTTTTGATGAAAAATAAGTTCTCGTAACTTGTCCTAGAGCAAGGTTCTGCCTGAACTAACGAGAATTTTGTAGTGGTTAATTCATTCCAGGGGCGGAAGTGGTGTAGTGGCAAGTGGCACGCTTACCACGCGAGCGGTCCGGGGATCAAATCCTGGGTCGTGAGTCGCCCGGGCCAACCAAGCCTTCCATCCCTCCGGGGTCGGTTAATTGGTACCAGACTTGTCTGGGAGGATAAAAACACTGACTTGTACATCGGCTGGCCCCCGCAAGTCATTGTATAGGCCACATCGCATTCAAACGCCACTACGAATGTACAAATGGAAGTAGAATGCGTGCCGCATCCCAAAAAGGGATTGATCAACGGCAAATGCTTTATTTTATCCTTAATTCATTGCAAAACCAATGATTCGCTGGCAGATATTCCTATAGACATCTAGAGGGAGCCTTGTTCGAATTCCAGTTAAATAATTCATGTCTGATGACATGAAAAGGCCTAAGCATCCCACGTTGATCAATCTCGTTTTGGGATGCGCCACGCATTCCACTTCCATTCAAAGTCATGGTAGCAATTTGAATGCTATTCGCAATGAATGGCGGGTGTCAGCGAAGTACGAGTCAGTGTGTTTATCATCTTACGATTAGAAATTTCTGATACTGATTTAACGATCTCGCATTGAAAGGAATTCTTGGTCCCAGACGGCGCATGTCCAGGATTTGATCTCCGCACCGCGCGCTTGGTAAGCAGCGCCACTTGCCAGTGCACCGCTTCTGCCTCGATATGATGACATGCTGTGCTATGTTGAAGCAGAATACTCTTACCGTATTGTGGCTCAAATTGAACTAACCTGTCTCCGTTAAGTGTACCAAGGACTTGTCGCCTTGCCTTTGGATTCATTCCTGCATTGGTATTTTTGCAGTTGAACTCATATGAGTATTGACCTGAAGACATATAAATGATAGCAGTTGGCCTGTAACCTTGTCTCTTGCCAGTCTACTAATCAAAATATCAATACGTTATGGGATTTAGATGAACTTCTGTGGATTCCTGACCTACTTTCGGGTTAGGAGCCCAGAGGTTGAGATCGAGTTTGGTCGGTATTGGAAAGCTTTTCAACCGGAATAGGATTGTTCTTTTATTAAGTAGCAAAACTTGAGCATCAATTAGCAGTAAGTTGATGAGTTGAAGATCCAGAAGCTGTCGGAAGTGTACGTTTGATTATCGTTGGAAATCGGATGTTTTTAAGCTCCAGAGAACCGCTTCGTTGTTGTAAATATACTGGGAGTGACAGGGTGACGAGCATATCAAGCTTCACGTAGCTTGAGTGGTGGACTTCGTTTGTCACAATTTCACGCAGCCATCAGGTGGAGTGGCGGAGCGTTTCTGACGTTCGCTCTTTGTGGGCAAGTCTCATGAAATTTGCTTTAGGGTTCATGGAGCATTTCCGTTAAGCTTGTCGTGAAGTCGTCGATAAGTACCTCATTACTTTAGGACTAGACAGCTTCTGTGTGGCTCACTTGCAAACCGACTTTCACACACGCACGCTCAAAATCGAGCGAAATCTGCTCACGCAGGGGATTTACATAACCTCTCCTTCAAAAGTCGAGAAACTGTCGGGTGCAGACCAAACACCACAAATGACGAAGGCCTCCAAGTAAACCTGGCTAGAAGTGGACATGCCGATTAGATGGTTGTATTTCTGGTAAATGATAGTTATTAGTCAATCGATAGAATACAACTGCAACAGGCTAATCATTTCATTGGCAGAAAACATTAACATTTTGTGAAGGCCGTCGTCACTTGTGGTGCATGGTCTGCACCCGACACTTTCTCGCTTTTTGAAGGGGAGGGTATTTGCTTCATTAGAAGTAGAAGTCAGGCAACAGAGGAAGTAAGGTGTGTGGCGTATTCTCAGTGAATGGTGAACTGAACACGCAGCTGTGACGTGGAGAGGACCCAAACCTGACAAACGCACGGCCTCATAACCGCTCCACCCACTGAACTGCGGTCGAGGAAATTTTCGACCATGGCTCTGAACTGTGTGAAAATAATGGCGAGGTGAATATCAGCGCGGGAGAGCGTCAATGATCAGGCAAGAATCTTCGACGAATCGTCGACAAATCCTCGACCGATCATCTTGTCCATCAGTTTATACCAGCAGTACCTTCTGTTTGAAGCGACTGTTTTCGTGTGGCTCAGCTACAAACCGACACTTCTCACATGCGCGCTCGAAATTGAGCCAAGTATGCTTGGCCTGCTTGATATTTGATGCTATGAGAACGATCTCACAAAGGAGCATATCACGACTGGTGGCTGTATCTTTCAGTTTGCTTAAGTAATGCTTTACCTCAAAGCACGATGCTTGTTGGCATGGTTTTTGCCAGGTGTTCGGTTAACACTACTGAACAACCTCTTCTCTTGGTTGCTGGACTAGTTCGCACCAAAGTCAACGGACGAACACAAGGGCCCTTTTTGCCTGTTCCTGACAAAATTCTCTTTTTTACGCCACTGTCTCACCATTTAGCACCTTCTTCTTTTCTAAACCCACCCGGAAGTTGTTGTAGAAATCCTTACATAGTTTCTTTCCTGGTTATGTAATTAATTAAAACTATTCTGTTGATTAAGAAGCAAACCTTGATAACTTTGAGCATAGACTCGCACTACGCTGTTGAAATAAACAGCCTGAAATTCCCAAAACTAAGTTTGCTGCCATTAGTAGCCAGCGAAGAACGCATTTTTGAGAGGAACATACCAGAATCACAAAAGCGACAAGCATTACGATAGTATAATAGCTAGTAGCTTTACAATAGCTCGCAATAATTCGTTTCTGCCCCTTTATATTGTCGTTAGAGAGCGCATGACTGCACTTTGTACGCGACTTTCATAAAATTTTTTAATTTCTGACAGAGGAATAGGGTGGTACTGGGAATGCTCCCTCATAAAAAGTTCTACAGGAAGTAGATTCATTGGTAGAAAGATCTGAGCGAGGAGATTGGTGTAGATGCTTGATAATTTTTGTTTGAACTACTCTTGATAGGCTAACGTTTTGGGATACATATTGCCTTCCCTCAAGCCTAGAAAGGTATATCTATTTGTGAATACACGACCAAATATCGAGCCTTGACGTCAAATAATCCATCACTCAAACCCTACAAAATGAATATCATTCTTCCATCAGCACCCTAGATCAGCCAACGGTAATCACAGCATCGGAAGCCCTCGAAAGCATCTCGTTCTGATCTTGATTGGAGTGCTATTCTTATATACAGGGTTAGTTCCAGCGCCTTGGATAAGCATTCCTCCCTTCGGTTCATCTTGGTTTTCCTGACACGAATCGTAGTGCTTTTAGAGTTTGCTGCGTGATCATTTGTGTTTCTTGCGCCAAGATCTCCACCGGGATCTCAAGAGCCGCTCGTTGTGATTCTGGAGTGTGTGACGAGGTGATGAAGAAACCATGTGAAACGGCCCGAAACCCGAGAAATGGGACCCCTTCCTTGCCCGTTGATTTGCGCATTGATGCGACTCTCATCGCTGTGCCCTCTTCAACACTACGCTCTCTCTGCTATCTAATCACTCGCCACGTATAGACCTGCGGCGAGTGATTAGATAGTCGGTGGGCGTTCCGCGCCAACTGCGCCAAAGGGAAGGCCATGTTAGATCGCCGAGGGCATATCCTTCGATGCGAATTGTGTGTTGGTCCGCACCCTTAGGGGGTCCGCCTTCTCTCCACTAGGTGAATTTCCCTTCTTCGACCTTCGTTCTTATCGTGGAATCCTTTTTCAAAGATACGATTTGGCTGTTGTGGGACAAGACTATTAAGCATGAGATCCGCCAAATTCTTTCCTGAGCCAATCACACAATATCAAACTGGGAACTCAAATTAGCATCCGCGTTGTGGCGTCCTACTGTATCCGAGCATTGTCTCTGACATTGTCTTGCTCTAAATTTTGCATCGTGACAGTACTTTCCACGTGAAATTGATGCTAGTATTGCAGGAGTACTGGGTTATGAACAAAACATTTGCCCTAGGCCGGACTCGAACCCGTACCTCTCGGCAAGAGCGTAGAAGTTACGCTTTCGGGGTACCGTTCGTCCTATAGCCGGTGTCAGACTGCGAATCGAACGTTCGCTACTAGCGATTCGCTAGCGTCCGCGGTCGCGTTGCGGTACCAGCCAATTGAGTGATTCACTGGCCGCGACGCGACCGCAGACGCTAGCGAATCGCGCGATTCGCAAAGTCTGACATCGGCCACTCAGCTTTGCTTCAGCTTCAGCTATGTTTACCATAGGTTATCGGCACTCACACGTTTAACGTGGTGACCCGGTTAGCCGATGACCCGGTTAGCCGACATTGGGGATCAACTGCGTGGCTGAAGCTCAAGTAATAATTTTGATTCTATCTAAAAGATTTTTTTGCATGTTGCTGTTGCATGTTCTTTCTTGCATGTTTTCGAAATTCGTAATATTATGGTCAGTAATTCCTAGTTTCATGAATATTATACGAAATAAAGCATTTGCCGTTGATCAATCCCTTTTTGGGATGCGGCACGCATTCTACTTCCATTTGTACATTCGTAGTGGCGTTTGAATGCGATGTGGCCTATACAA